CAAACAGGTGCCCATGTAGAAGGTTTACCGTATACAAGAATGCGAGATCATTGTGAGGTTATCCCACAGACAAAAGACACAATAACTAAGACTTAAGAATGTGTCTCTAATTTCATTAGGAGGGGAGAGTCTGATATGGGCATGCTGCTGACCTACTTAAAACACAATTAAAGTGTTTTTTGTCAGCATAGTTGTGTTGAGATGTGCGGAGTCAGGCTTGACGAGGGGGTAGGTAGACCTTGGTATGTGGCGGGGAGCATTAGTGTAGACAGTATTCTCCTGCAAGGTCCACTCCGTCAGATCAAGACTTGGTCATTAGGACTGACTGACTGACTGAGTATGGTTTTACGCCGCTTTTAGCAATATTCCAGCAACATCACGGCGGGGACACCAGAAAAGGGCTTCACACACTGTACCCATGTGGGGAATTGAACCCAGGTTTTCGGCGTGACGAGCCAACGCTTTAACCACTAGGCAACCCCACCGCCCCTTGGTCATTAGGAGGAAACTCAAAACTCCCAGAACACTCAGGTTAGAACAGAGTGGGACTTATCTTGAGAAGGGTTTCGAATTAAGAATATATTCTGCTTGAAAATGTAAAAACAAACCTAACAATTACGAAAAGCAGGGAGTTACACAACACACATAAAAGTGCACCAGTACACAAAATGTTTTTCAATTTTATCCTTATAATTTTAAAATTACTAGTTACTTACGGAATTTATTAGTTACTTAGTTCAATGGTTTCGCAAGTGTCAGTTTCTAAAAACTAATAACTTATGATCATGTCTTAACAATGACAAATTTAAAGTTTTAAATCAATATGTAACATGGATGGGCATGAATCCACTTAATCGGAACCCTTAAATAATGTTGTCCTCAAAACCCCAATTTAACAAACACAAGTGAAACGCTGTGTTGTGAAACTTTGCTTTTCAACAGCATGACAAGAAACACCAACAAATGCAAGGTTTCTGTGTGCTTGCTAGCACACTACTCAACAGAATTAAAACATGCCCAGATTTATTTATGTATGTACATGTACAGTCAGTCAGAAGCAGGGAATATTTCTGACATGTACTTTTGTCCAAGTTCAGCCTACAAACAGCAAGGTTTTAGCAAACTACCTCATAGAGGCATATTTATCTTTTGAACAAAGAATGTTTTCTAATCCCTCCAAACTATGATTCTAGTGTAGTGTAATTATTTCAGAAAAGATTTTGAAAGTTAAAGTGATGTTAGCACAGAACTATTCTCATAACACTCGAGGTTTTTACTGAGATAACCACATACATGAGCTGTTTGAACAGAGCACATTTGCAATCAAATACACCCACATAAAAAGTCATCTTTTTACGCAAACACTCCAACAAAAAGCTGCAGCTCTTCAAAAGAACAAGTTTGGGTGAACACCTTATAATGAGGAGGGCCTGAATTCCTGCTCAAGTACGAAGGTAATATTAGCCTTAAAGTGAGGCAAGTATGTGGCTGGTATACAAGCATGGCCATCTCAGCCTGTAGTCTGAGTGTCTCCAACAGCAAGAGACAGCCTTCATATCCAGTTTGTTCAACTATCCCCTGTCTAACTCCCTAGATCCCTATCTTGTAGCAGTGGAGACACCCAGATGCCCCATTGTTGCTTGCACAAAAGGTCAAGCTATTATTGCCAGAGGGGTGGCAGGTTGTGGCCTATATCTGTGAGCCTGTCCCCCTATGGTGTTCCCAGCTGACAAAGGGCTACTTGAGTAGTGTACCTGTCTGTTAATGAAGTAGTGCTTTATGGGCTAGTTTTTCACATTGATGAAATATCTTCATGTTTAGGGATCCCTTTAGAATTCTTGGCTGTGTAAATAGGGGATTATTTTGAGTGTGACTGCCTCAATGTCAAACGTCAGACCTAAAGAAGAACCAGCGCAGCCTGGAAACTAACACAATATGTGTATCACTTCCCTATATTCCCAAATAGTGTGTGCCTCTTTCAACATACATGGACTTAGGAATAATTTCGATTAAATTTACCCTACTCGCAATATGGACTGCAAAGATTTGCAGATTGTCTTTGCTAAATTTCTTACACAACTGAAAAACACTGGCCTAAGTAAAGAGTAATGTACCTTATCGATCCTGTTTTAGAATTTCATCAGTTACAATTGTATCAATGTTTTGAATAATAATCTCAACAACACTAATAATGTAAGGTTATTTCAATAGTACAAAGTTCAAGACCACTGATGGAAACGAACTTTTCACAATTTCTTAAAAGCTTACATAAAAAATACTTTTCAATACACAATGCAAATTAGAAAGTGTCCAGATGTAACATATGATATGTCTGGGATTACACTAATGACTTTCTCAGTTACACAGATTCAGGTAATTTGGAATCTGATTCGGGATTCAAACCCAGACTCTCACATTCCATATTCCAGAATACATCATTATTCAAAATCTCCTACACATGAAATCAGCCAACAGAAAGATATGTGTATATTGTGTAACATCACTGAATGTACAGATGATGATTCTAAGAAACACACGCCTAAGATGTACCCCAGAATTATGAACTCATGTAGTGCTGCTCACTTCTCCTGAACCTACACCCCTGTACCCCGCACTCACTCCTCCCCCACCCCTCCTAGGTCAATACCCTACCCCAGGGAACCTGTCAGTCACCAGCAGTAAGGCGAGGGTGTAGTGTGGACAGATGATATTAGGGCTGATCATATGTCAGTATACACAAGATGACATCCGGTAGATGTGGAGGTGGTTTAACACAGACGCCATGAAGCACCTGCCCAGTGCCACCATCACTATAGTGTCAGTATACACAAGATGACATCCGGTAGATGTGGAGGTGGTTTAACCACAGCACAGACACCATGAAGCACCTGCCCAGTGCCACCATCACTATAGTGTCAGTATACACAAGATGACATCCGGTAGATGTGGAGGTGGTTTAACCACAACACAGACGCCATGAAGCACCTGCCCAGTGCCACCATCACTATAGTGTCAGTATACACAAGATGACATCCGGTAGATGTGGAGGTGGTTTAACCACAACACAGACACCATGAAGCACCTGCCCAGTGCCACCATCACTATAGTGTCAGTATACACAAGATGACATCCGGTAGATGTGGAGGTGGTTTAACCACAACACAGACGCCATGAAGCACCTGCCCAGTGCCACCATCACTATAGTGTCAGTAAAGACGCTGACATCCGGTAGATGTGGAGGTGGTTTAACCACAACACAGACGCCATGAAGCACCTGCCCAGTGCCACCATCACTATAGTGCCAGTATACACAAGATGACATCCGGTAGATGTGGAGGTGGTTTAACCACAACACAGACGCCATGAAGCACCTGCCCAGTGCCACCATCACTATAGTGCCAGTATACACAAGATGACATCCGGTAGATGTGGAGGTGGTTTAACCACAGCACAGACACCATGAAGCACCTGCCCAGTGCCACCATCACTATAGTGTCAGTATACACAAGATGACATCCGGTAGATGTGGAGGTGGTTTAACCACAACACAGACGCCATGAAGCACCTGCCCCCTGCCACCATCACTATAGTGCCAGGGGCGTTGGGGTAGCCTAATGGGAGTGTAGGATTCAAACCCAAGACACGAGGATCCGAGACCCGTCAGCGGAGAAAATAATGTGTAGCGACCCATGTCTAGATACCTATGGTGGTATTCTCCCTTTCGTAAAATCAGGGGGCCGGTGGGGTAGTCTAGTGGTTAAAGCGTTGTCTCGTCACGCAGAAGACCTGGGTTCGAATCCCCACATGGGTACAATGTGTGAAGCCCATTTCTTGTGTCCCATGCCGTGATGTTGCTGGAATATTGCTAAAAGCGGCGTAAAACCATACTCAGTCAGTCAGTCAGACTATAGTGTCAGTAAAGACGCTGCAACCATAAGACTGATTCAAAATGTCTACTCTAACATAAAACAAAATAATGGTGGTTATTAGGGGTGACTATTGAGGGGAAACAACTATTGCGATACGATAGTCTATTAGCGATAGTCTAATAGCGATAGTCTATTGCAACATACTATTGTGATAGCGATAGTCTACTGCGACCAACTATTGCAATAATATTGCAATAATTTTTTACTCTCCTTGAATTGTCTCATTTGAAGTCATTTCCCAAATGAATGTATAGTTTATATGAAACAAAAACAAGTAGTTTCAGTCTCTTTTAATAACTGACAAGAGACTTGAAATCCAGACCAAGGAAACAGTTAAAACATAAACTCAACAAAGCTGCAAGTCTGCACCCAAACAATAACAAAATACAAAACAAATAGTTTTAATAGTTAATAAATAGTTAAAAAAACAAATAACCATCAATTACTAAACTATCGACGCATCATTAGTTTTTTTCTTCTACCACCGATTAGTTGCTATCAGAGACTCAACAATTGCAATCCATCGATAGTTTGCCGCATCGTTACAGTCCTACTATTACTGCCTTTATTAAATATTAATTCCCCCTGTCCCTGCAGCCAGGTATTGACAGTACACCAAACAGGACTCGGTTCAGTGTGTTTAACTGTGGTTCTTGTAAGACACACATGGCTGATTCCATAGGGGCCTACATTATAAATTAGTAATTTTCACAGCAGTGAAATTATGTTTGAAATCAAATAAAAGTGATTTTGACATGCCTGTACCCAGCAAACATGCTGACAACTGAAAAGTATCAAAGCTGTCAAGTCAATCCAGTTTTTAAGTTGTTTTCCCTAATGTCAATATCCTAGCTTCATGACACAGTTATGAAATCTTTCACTGGAAGAGAGATGAAAGGAATGGAAAGAGCTCTCCCTCCCACTAGATTAATGCTTAGTCTCTGAATATACATAATTCTGATTGTAAAAACAAACCCATTTAAAATGAAAAGGAGCCCCAGGGAGACCAAAGATTCAGAACCTGAGGAAATCTAGACTTGATTCATTTAAGGCTTCAACATTGCAGAGAGGGCTAGGCAGTAGGGGAAATAATGTGGTTCAGGGACTGTGTGACAGACTAGAATGGCTAGGCAGTAGGGGAAATAATGTGGTTCAGGGACTGTGTAAAAGACTAGGAAGGCTAGGCAGTAGGGGAAATAATGTGGTTCAGGGACTGTGGCAGACTAGGAGGGGCTAGGCCAGCTGTGGTTCAGGACTGTGAGACAGACTAAAAATAATGTGGTTCATGTGGTTCAGGGACTGTGTGGCAGTAGGGGACTGACTAGGAGGGCTAGGGACTGCAGTAGGGGAAATAATGTGGTTCAGGGACTGTGTGACAGACTAGGAGGGCTAGGCAGTAGGGGAAATAATGTGGTTCAGGGACTGTGTGACAGACTAGGAGGGCTAGGCAGCAGGGGAAATAATGTCGTTCAGGGACTGTGAGACAGACTAGGAGGGCTAGGCAGTAGGGAAATAATGTCGTTCAGGGACTGTGAGACAGACTAGGAGGGCTAGGCTGTAGGGGAAATAATGTCGTTCAGGGACTGTGAGACAGACTAGGAGGGCTAGGCGGTAGGGGAAATAATGTGGTTCAGGGACTGTGGGACAGACTACCCCTCCCTCTAGTGAAAGTGAAACGCTGTGAAAAGGTTGTAACTGGATTCCATGATTTTCAACAAGGATCATGCTTATACAACAAATATGACTGGTTAAATAAAGCAAGTTTCTTAACGATGAACATAGTTTCTGCAATGTTAATTACCCAAAGTCAATATGGTCCAAAAGTTGACTATCAGTGAAAGAAGGTGTGAGCCATTACATTTATGGACAATTACAGTGCATATACAGGCGAATAATTTGTCACAGACCAACATCTGGTTCCATTGTTAAGTGAGCAAGTTAAATTTAAAGATGCATTAGGTTTTTTCAAGGTGAGACGAAACTTCAAAATAGACCGCATAAATATTTAATGGTTTTCCAACAATGTGTTTATGTCTCTCAAGAATGCTTTTTCAGAATTGTTGACTGGAATCAACAGAGTGGAAATATGGTAATATGGAATTCAGCAGTTCCAGCAAGGTGAACCCAAGCACCTTTGTACTGTTAAACTGACACTGGGGTAATAATCCACTTGTTGTGACAAGACCCATGTTTCAATAGTAGGTCTGTGTGATATGATACACAATACATCATATGAAATACTTGACGTGTTATAACATAGGTAGGGAGATATTTCAATAACAGCCTCACTGAAACTTTTCTGTACATCAGAGTCAGTTAGAAAAAACACTGGCGGCTTCAGACCTCTTTCATACAAGAGTAAATACATGTTTTGTGCTTTGTTCATATTATATTTGTATCTGTTTTTGAAAAGTTTTTGCTTGTCCTAAGTCACAAGAAAAATCTGTATTTACAATACAATTTGTTCAAATATTGTATTATATTTGAACACACATTGCATTACATTTGAACACATATTGTATTATATATGAACAAAATGTATTGTAAATGCAGCTTTTTCTTGTGGCTGAGGACAAGAAGTTAACGGTTATATACAACTTCAAACAATAATGGAATAATCCAAAAACATGAAATATTCATTAAAAAAATTAAACCGGTTTCTCTAATGTACACAATTTGAATGAGCCCCCCCACAACCTACATACTAGTGTCCGAACAACTGTCAGAGAGGACAAGCGAGTGTATCTAACGACCTGGTCTCCTGTAGCTTCAGGGAGACTAGCAGATAAAGACCAAATAAATCAATCAACATGTGACACCATGTGACAAGTATATGTCTTCTACCTAAACATAACATCTATCTCTGCTTCATGGTAACAGGTAGCTCAAGCAGCAACTAGATGGCAGGAGTTGGGAGGACGTTCTCAATGTGCAAGGAGGTCTACGTAAACATTTTGTAACATGGAGCCAGTAATAAATAAACTTCCTAAGAGTGAGTGAGTGATTGAGTGTGTGGGTGGATGGGTGAGTGAGTTGGTGAGAGAGTGAGTGAGTTAGTGGGTGGATGGACACCTTAGTGATGCCACACACCAAGATGACACCTTAGTGATGCCACACACCAAGATGACACCATACTGATGCCACACACCCAAAGATGACACCTTTGTGATGTCACACACCAAGATGACACCTTTGTGATGTCACACACCAAGATGACACCATACTGATGCCACACACCAAAATGACACCTTTGTGATGTCACACACCAAGATGACACCTTAGTGATGCCACACACCAAGATGACACCTTAGTGATGCCACACACCAAGATGACACCTTTGTGATGTCACACACCAAGATGACACCTTAGTGATGTCATCACATGATGACACACACACACCAAGATGACACCTTTGTGATGCCACACACCAAGATGATGTGACACCTTAGTGATGCCATGTCACACACCAAGATGACACCTTAGTGATGCCACACACCAAGATGACACCTTAGTGATGTCACACACCGAGATGACACTCACACACCAAGATGACACCTTAGAGATGTCACACCGAAGATGACACCTTAGTGATGCCACCAGTCACACACACCAGGATGACACCTTAGTGATGTCACATACCGATGACACCTTAGTGATGCCACACACCAAGTGACACCTTAGAGATGTCACACCAAAATGACACCTTTAGTGATGATGCCATAATCAGGGGAATTTGGTGAGACTCATTTAAGGTTGACCCTTAGTATAGTCCAATGAGGTTCTACACACCGTCACGTTACAAGTTACAGTTACAGTTACAGTGCCCCACTGAACAAGTTGGACTTGACTACAACATCCATGCACTACTCTTTCATGAGAACCCATACATCTTGTTTCACATTCACATAAACCATCTTTGGATTCCTTATTCAGTCAAACATTCCATCTCATAATGTAGTGAAGTTGAGGAGAACTGTCACTGATCTTGGATATATTAGGGATTCTGTGAAATAATGTATTTCATATTGTCTCTATGTGCATGTTGAAGTTAAATATCTTGGGAGCTTCCCTCCATAGCGCACTGTGATCGGAAACCCTGATACTGTGTACTAGCAAGCAACAGTTATGCAGAATTCTAAAACAACAGGATAACTTACAGTGGAAATGTGAATATTCCGAGACTCTAGACAGCTGGAAATCAGGTTGTCATTCTGTCTACCTCCCCATATTGTATCCATGAATATTAAGTGTGGATGATATTACCTAGGCTTAACACAGACAAAAGCCTGACTTTAAGGGACAGTGAGAGCCTACATGCTTGCATATTCTGAGAGTCCTGCTACTGACAGGCTTGTTCATGACGTCCTAACACTTCCCTACCTGCCAGCTCGTCTAGACAAGTTAAACACTAAATACTTGTAAGCATCAGGTTTAACTCAGCCTAAAATCACCAGGTCCACGTTTCACATAGCGATCGTGTTAGTCATTACAACAGTCGTAAGTCGACGTTAAAGTATTGGGAGTTGCGATCATCTTAGTGCAAACAAAAGTCGTAAGTCTACGTTAAAGTATGTGAGTTACGATCATCTTAGTGCTAACAACAGTCGTAAGTCTATGTTAAAGTATTGGGAGTTATGATCATCTTAACAGTCATTAAGTCACGTCGTAAGTCTACGTTAAAGTATTGAGTTACGATCATCTTAGTGATAACAACAGTCATAAGTCTACGTTAAAGTATGCGAGTTATGACCATCTTAGCAACTAGGATCGATTTGTGGAATGGGCCACTGGGCACCTTTAACAGTTTACATCATATAAAATAATATCTACAATCTGGACAATTCAATTTTCCAGCCAAATTTCACCATTTCAATTCCACTTCGGAGACAGAACACATCACAATTCAAATGGAAAGATTTGTGATGAGAAACCAACAACAACAAAGCTGGCAACGTGATGCAGAAATCCCTGAACCCAAGCTTCTGATGCTGTCTTCAAACTCCTGGTAAGTATCCTTGGATTCCAGGCACTTTAGAGGTGTAGCTTTCCTTGGCTCCATCTCAGTGTACTTCATAACGAGTGGAGAAATTGAAGTCAGGGGATATAGCTCCCCCTAATCTCTCCCCCATCCCCCCTGTATCACACTGTTACAACATTACCATGTTAGTGATTCACTCACCTGAATAGGTACACCTTCTAGTCGTCGGAGTCATACCCGTTTCTGTTGACTCGTTAACACGTAGAAGATCATCTGTAATTGGAAACATCTAATTAGTTATATGAATCGCAAATCAAACTTAAAATATGTGACAACAATTAAACAAATATGAGTATCACAATTGTGTTTTCATATTGAATGTCGAACTAAAAATACTGGAAAATTTAATAAGAATTATTAATGGTAGAGAATACTTAAATCTTAGAATTTAGAACAAATTGACGTCCAACCCTACTAGAAAATACCTAAACACTCTTAAAATCAAAACAACCTCAACTTAAAACACAAACCGGAAAACTTGAACAAGTACCAAAACGAAATGTCTCTTCCAAATCAAATTCCACACATATCCACCTAAGGTCCACACCAGAACTCTGGGTGTTGATTAATGAATGAAGGCAAATGGGTCCTAAATGGACAAGTATTACTTTATGCTGTGAGAGCAGAGACCCCCACCCTCCTGTTGGGCCGAGCATGCAGTCGGTTAACACAAGGGCTTCCCTTCCAGTCCTCTAGTCTATTGGCAGTAAAGAGTTGAAGCCACATTTCCTATTATCGGACATAGATCATTCTAAGAGTCAAGTGCTGCACTTCCGTCAGTGATAATCACATCACCGATGTCTACATAGCGGTGAGAACAAGTAGCTGGGCTCCAGCCTAATAACCTGCCGTCCGGACAGGAGCCTGATAACATCATTTAAAGACTTCTGTCTCATACACAAGTAAGTAGAATGAGACTGAACAAAACCATACGAACCCCCTTCTCTATTTTCATCAATAACTGCTCTACATTTACCATTGATAAAAACACTGATATTAAATAAGTCAGTGAGTGAGTGAGCGCATTAAAATTTAAAGTCACTTTGGAAATATTTTCAGCCATATCGTGACTAAAACAGTAAATACTTTATCATTTTATTTAATAAAATCTGTGATCAACGGACAGTAAAACCTCCAGTAAAGCCTGCCACATTGTGATGACAAATCCATTCAAGTCCCACATCCAAGTGAGTTTTATTTCTGTATGTTTTCAAATCAACTCATCTGTAAAAGTGTTCAAGCTGTTTTACTGTTTTTTAAACACATTCATTAAAAACAATTAACTAAACATTACATCATGGAAGCCTTCTAAAATATTACTGAAAGAAAAACTTGCTCTGAATTGTAATTATATCATAATTAGAAAAAAATACCCACCCAGTTACTCAATACCAAGATAATTGCTGCTAAGCAGATGAATTATTGCTAATGTGATGTCAAATTATGATTCTATATCACCAACTTTATTCTCAGTCAAAGACTACAAAAGTGGCCCAAATGCAACAATGACTTTCATGGTAACATTATAAGGAAGTTGATTATCTGAGAAGAAGTGTAGACAATTTATGGTGATCTCTTTACCAGAGATTGATGATCATGTACGTAAATGGTTCTATTTAAAAAATTAATGGAATATTGAATTTCTGTCAAGTTACCAAATAATTCATCATTAAGTCTCTTTTACAACAATGGCCTGTTTGTTCAGAAGACAAAAGTTGACAAAAATAAAGATATTGAAAAACACATTATCCATAAATGATCGTTTTTCACCTGATCAACATGCTAAAATGATTATTTCAAGACTACGAAAATCAATCCGCAATTTATATAGAATAACAAAACTGCCCTTCAGCACCGGGATGCCTCTCATAATTACTGGTATGGTAATTTCAAAATTGTATTTTATTGATACATTTATCCTGTTAACGAGTTAAGAGCAATTTCAGCCTTAACAAAAATAAGAGGGTATTTCATAGGTCTCATCAACCTTGACCTTTCAAATCTGACTCAAAAACCACAGGCTTCTTGAAACACAAGGATTGAATGCGAGTCCTGCGTATTTCATGTTTTCTTATCACTCGAGTAAACTGATTTTTTTAGGATTTAAGGGCAATCTATCGTCGTTGAGTAGTGTATTAATCGAGGCTCAACGGCTCTTCAGTTTAGTACGCACAGAGGCCTGGGCTAAACGGAGCGTGTCATGCTTTCTCTGGCTTGGCTATTCCCAAATATTGTTTGGTGTTCATTCAGGTGAATAACCTATTTAAAATATGCCGCAAATCTCATTTATATCAGAAAGACGTTGATTGTCAATACGACAAGTCAGCTCTATCCTTGCCCGTTCCTGTGTAAACATAAGGATGGTTTAACAAACTGACTTACCACATAATACATAACTGGAATTTCAATGTAAACAAGATGGTTTTTCTAAAACTAATAAATAACAAGAAGTATGGATTAATACATTTCACCTGAAGCACTCCAGCTATGACAATGTCCCAAGAGGTTATTCCCACCCTGCAGAGTAAGTGATTTTAATAACTAACTCTTAGTATAATTGACTTTAAAATTAATCTGACATTTCACTTTTAGTTGCCTGAATGATGACAAAGTGTTACAATTAGCTGCCTAATGGAAGTATGTTTATTTGATAAAAGCATAATTTTCAGTTATTCCTGTAATTTTCGATATAATAGTTCAGAAACATAGTGTCTACACACTATACAAACCATTGGATAAATGTTTCAGGTGTTTTGAAACTATCTGTAACTTGGTTTCGAGATTTTTAAAACAATGTGTATTTTGACTGTCCAAGCTTCCTCTGTTCCATACAGTTTTGCGTCATAGTGTTGATAAAAATAACAACATTGTGTTTTTGTTAAACTTGTCTAAGATACAGTGTATCATTAAATGCTTATATTATTTCTTAGAGGCGACAAATTCAAACAATCATGTAAACCTATATATTTATGCATACCTGAGCATCATTTTCATCTTCCTCAACTATCATAACACGTCTGTTGCAATTTGAGGATTTAATAACTTTAAACACCTTGTGTTAGAAATTCTAACATTTGATTTTTAAATCAAAACAATTCAGTTCAACTCCACATCACTCTCAGATTGGGAAATTAACTAATCAATAATGAATATAGATGTCCGGTTTAATTATTTTTCCATTTTTCCCCTCACCTGTTATTTTTACTCGTTCAATCTGTTCGTGTGTTCGAGTTTGGTCTGCTACCGTGGTATCTGAAAGAAAGCAGTCGGGTTGGTAAAAGCCGAGCGATGAAGTCACGCCAATATGCTGGCAAGACATGTGATAAACAGTGCAAGAGCTCTCCTGGCGCCAGAGTATAATTGCTTGTCTGTTGGGCGGCTTAGCCACGAGACGTGTGTCCAGTCGAAGTCAGACCCGAGACTCCCAGCCTACGGCGGGTTACTGCATTTAGAACACATAGTCTCAAAACTAAGAGGAAAAAATAGAGAAGTTATGAAGTATTTTTGAAATTACATGCTGTAAGAATGCCGAGCATGGGGTCTACTATTTAGCCATTGATGTTATCATTAATTCAGCCCGACTGTGGCCCGTCAAGTGAAATCATGTTACCCGTAACTTCACAACAATCGCAAGTTTTACCTAATAAGCTCATAGCTCGACGTGGGAAAATGTTACAATTCGAAGATAATCAATAAAATATGCGTAAACTTTTCCAGATTGAGAATGCTTAGAAAAAAATGTTTCGTTTACTATAACAATACTTGTCAAAATTTGACAGCGAGTTGTTTTGAAGCAATTCGCGAATTAAATTCGTTGCGTTTTGAGTTTGGACTGAATCATAAGAGAGGCATAGTCCTGAAATTAACATGAGACTGTTCACAAGAATGTGTAATTCACAAGAAAACGACAAAATACAAGATTTGTAAATTTTGACGCACTGTGAAAAGGAATAAGCGGTCGCCCGACAAGCGTCTTATAGCTGTCCCTCGTCAGTGTTAGACAAATAACTAAGTTATGTACATACATAAGAGAGAGCTGTTGAGAAAAGGCAAAGTCTTCGAGTGTTATATTATGATAAACCTTGGGTCTAAACCTTGCATTCAACCACTCGTAGCACAAGTAAAAACAAATATGGCCGCGCTGTGCGGAGGTCGCTGACGACGGGGCGGTGAGGATCGACATCATACCTGGTTTGAGAAGCAGACTCCAGTGATACGGGTTACAGCAGACATAGCCAGGATCATTCACGGTATTGCAACAAGACAATCTTTTCAATTCCGCCTCTTGGCTAAGGTCCGGCCATCGCCAAAGTCGACAACACAGGTTGTGATGAGAGAACGACCGCCGTCCGACTCGAACGTGTTCTTTTGGTAACAACACACATTCCGTATTTTCACCACCCTTGCTTTCAACAGACTGGACGAGGATATCCAGCTGTTTTTCCTTCAGTCTTTTGAGCATTGTGTGGGCCACAGATTTTAATTCCAATTCCTCTGGACTTTCAGTCGTACTTTGGGTTTCATCGTTAATAAGACGGTGCTTCCACAGCCGTTTCACGAGGGAGTGTCTTTTAGACCGAAACATACAGCATCAGGCATAGGTAGTCCCCTGCTATGCCTAGCATCATAGCCGCAAACACTCCACTACAGTCTCCCAACTTGCTCTACACTATTGGTAAATAACAACAACGACCACCCTTGATCCTTCCAACCCAACCGGTGAAATGTGCTCACATTTGCCTGGTTGTACGCTCACTGACCAGCAAGCAGCTCCCACGAGACACTCCCATTTAATCCTCCACAGAATCAACCCAAAACACACGTTAACTCCTTTTTTTCCTTCCTCGGTCCTGTTACTGAAAATATTTCACAATAAACAGTTGAAATCCAACAATTTGTTGCCTTCTTCTACGTAAACCTTCATAACACTGCAATCTACAGTGGCCACAGCCGAGTCCACTACACCTCCAGGGTAGACAGGTGAAACTACCTCAGTGGGTCACTGTCAATTCAACTCTGCACGCAGAAAGGGAGAAGTCCGCCTCGCATATGCGCACTTACAACTAAGAACAGTTGATTACGTTCCGTAATGAGCATGATCTTACAAATGCACGATTTTATGTTAAAACAACAACCACCACCTCCCCTTTGTCATTGCTAAGTAAACCCTTCTCACTCTCATACGGCTTCACAAAAGCTGCACGCTGATTGGCCAAGATGTAGCACGTGGGTGTCTAGACTTTTTGGCGCGGCTGATGTCGACTATGATTGTTGCGCAAATAACATATCAAATTACTGCTTCTATCGGCCTAACTTGAGTTTGAAGCAAGTATTTTCCATGGGACAGTGTTTTAGAGAGCACAATTTTCATTTTGAAGTGCAATTTGCTATGGATATAACCGTGTGAGAGAAGAAAGTGTGTGTCTACTTCTCGCTATCTCGCCATGTTTACGGCTAGCTGAACACATGGTCGAAGGACGTGCCGCCTCGGGGAGAAATCATTGTGCGAAACGGTCCCCCACCGTTGTCGCATCTTTACCCCTTTATCTTGTAGACTCGGACCTAGCTTTACCTGGGAGATCGTATTACCTACCAGAAGCCCGAGATTTCTATGAGTTGGCTCGCCATGGACTTAGTAGATTTGTGATAACATCACATCAGCGTGTAACACACCCTCCCTCTACCACAAAGTGGATTCGTCTGTTTCTTGACTTCTAGCAGACGACAGATTTCAGCTTGCGATTCATAGCTCTCGAGGATATAGTGAAAGGGTTTATTTACCGCAAATTCGCGGTTCTGTTGAGAGATATTCGTTCATTTCCTGAATTTTATTTTCTTACTTGTCGTAAATTTAACTTAAACTGCCAACATCCATATATTAACACGAAATGAGTCAAATCTAGTTTTCAGGTTGGCTGTCAGACTAAACCGGGAAAGTTGACTTTTGGCATGACGAGACATTAAATAGTGACCCCGGTTAATTTGCTTGGTTTAACTACCCTGTTCCCAGTCCAGGCGAGCTCGGGTCTGGCTGGCGACCAACAGAGTACGTTTAATGACGTTGTATGCCTTCAAGGACTATATATCATACGGACGGAGAAGGAGCGTCACAACAGCGACCAACAGACGCCATCGCACACTGGAGGAGCCACAGCCAACACGCCGAGACTACTCGCACGCCAAGATTTATCGTCGGCCTGTCACACGCTCCTGCCTCGGTATAACGCGAATGTTTACGCCTGTTTGGACATATTATGACCCGTTTGTTTATTGGGAGTGAATTTCAGCCAACCCTTGGTGAATTACAGTTTTGGAGGTTAATAAATCGGGCTTGGACGCCACTTGTCTAGACTCCGACTGAGTAAAACAAAGTGAAATGACCAGGGTTCACGCTGCGATGCTTCGCGTGTTTCGCTGAATTTATTTTGTTTACTTATTTATCTATTTTTAGGGAATAAATATGGAAATTATTTTTGTAATAATGTTTGATTTCTCCACGTGGGCTTTACGTGGGTCGTTATGATCGTGAATAATAAGGCACTAACTAATGATAGGGGCTTTCGACCGAGAGATGTTTGTAATAAACAACCGCTGAGCGTTGTTGGAGATATTTATTGAACGCCAAAATACACAGTCGGGATTTGATTCACCGAAATCCCGCATGTGAAGTAAAATCGGGAGCGTATGTAGACTGTGTACAACATCAATGTACATACATGACCATGTAATTGAACACGAGTACCATTTATTTTTAATATGTCCAGCCTATTGTATGTTGAGAAATAAGTATATAAGAGCTACTACTTTGTACATCCTGACATTTATAAATTAATATCCCTTTTAACCAATTCTAGTAAAGTACATTTAGAAAAATTATCTATGTATATCTATTACGCTACCACATACAAAATTACATTCTCAAAAATTCTACTAACTAAATTGTTCACTATAGGCCTGGGGCCTCCTGAGTACGGAAATAAATATTGATATTGATACTAGCTGACCAACTATAAACATAGTTTTCATATTAAGATTCGAGCGACAATGTTCAAATTAATTAAATTTATCAGTTATGGTCAGAACCAGGGCCTGTAGGGAGTTGTATAATTGCCTTACATTAACATTAACTTACTACTACTATCTTAGCGCTAAGAGAGCTTCGAAAATCTAGGCCCAGACGTTTTCAACAATAATTTTATTCTGAGCGAAACGTGCCTTATTGCGACTGGACCCGTGAAGATCCGGGGTAGAATAGGTCTTCAGCAATCCACGCTTGCCACAAAAGGCGACTATATGCTTGTCGTAAGAGGTGACTAACGGGATCGGGTGGTCAGGCTCGCTGACTTGGTTGACACGTCATCGGTTCCCAATTGCGCAGATCGATGCTCATGCTGTTGATCACTTGATTGTCTGGTCCAAACTCGATTATTTACAGACCGCCGCCATATAGCTGGAATATTGCCGAGTGCGGCGTAATACTAAACTCACTCACTCACTTATTGCGACTGAATAGTCCTTCAGCATTCCATACGTTTGTGCTGGAGTGGACTTCGGGGATTGGTTGGATATCAATAAGGGTTTGCGTGATGCCCTTGAATAAACCCAGGGTTTCCGGATCAGCACGTTTCCAAAGTGTTTTCAATGCTCGCCCGTGAGATCCTACCAGATTCGACAGTATTTTCATCGTATCCCAATTCCGAAGATCGATGCTCATGCTGTTGATCACTGGATTGTCTGGTCCAGACTCGATTATTTACAGACTGCCGCCATATAGCTGGAATGTTGTTGAGTGCGGCGTTAAACAACAAACCAATCGACAGTATTATACATGATACGCGTGTTATACCATCCTTTATATAGGGCATGATCGCCTAACACTCTCCCAGTTGTAAGACTGTAATTCATGACAATCAAAATCAACGATTTTATTCTGAAAACAGGTCTGTTTATTATTATTCAATACGTTTACCGCTTCTGACATATCGATATTTTTTATGTTGTGTAATGCCGCCTTCGGCAATATTTAAGCTATCGGTTTGTACAAAATCCGCGTCTTAATCGTACAATCCAGTGATTGGGTTGAGGGAGATCTCATCAGGTGCGATAGGACAACCAGGACCATGTACCTGAACACAATTTAGTGACCTCTCGCAAGCACCTGTTGCAAGGAACTATCATATATACCCGGAACCCCTATCTATACATATACTCAGCCACTTTCATCGATCAACTTTTGTCATGTTACAGGTTTGTATAGTCGCCCGAGGTTTGCAAATAATTTGTTCATGTTGAAATTAGCAATTGTTAAGTTACCCAGTTAACTAAATATCGATCGATTATCGATAAATAACGGAGACTTAACTTTGAGAAAAAATGTCGGAAAGAAATGAATATGTTTCCCATCAGCGCCATCACTGGTGAGTAGCGACATGTTTGTGCATGGATTGTTTACAACACATCGTCCTAAACATAATTTAGAAGCAGACCGTGAGAAAGTCCTAAATTTGTATATCATATTGTGTGAGAAACTTAAAACCTTTTTCTTCCACAAAAGTTCATGTACATTATTATCGAACAATTTTTATATCGATAATCATTAATATTTTTTCCCATCGACGATATATTTCCGAGTATCGATTATTTCAGCTGTACCCAGCAGTAGGTAGAGTACATCAAGACTCGGGACACGGAATCAACCAAGTCCCCGACAACCAGATACACAGTTTGGTATAGTTTGACACCGTTCCAGGCTGCAGTTGTACTAAGCGATTTCCGTCTTAAGGTGATCGTAGCTCCCATACTTTAACACAGACTTGCCGCAGCAGTAGCGTGAAGGTTTTGTACAACGTCATCCTGATCTGTAGCAACTACATTTGTGCTTTATTTTACGGATATTTTCAGCAGTTTTTATGTTATTTCTCGGTTAGTAAGATGATCTCTCCGGAATCTGTATCCAATGCGCCCCGCTATTTCGCCAATGGGTACCGGATGGCTGCATGATAAGAGTATGGAGTTTGTTGTTTAACGCCAGACTCGCTAATGCTCCAGGTATATATATGGCGGCGGTCTGTAGATAGTCGATTATGGACCAGACAGTCCACTGACTGACATACTGAGCATCGATCTACGCAATTGAGATACAATGACATGTGTAAACCAAGTCAGCGAGCCTGACCACCCGATCCCATTAGTCGCCTGTTACAAGCATGGGTTGCTGACGACCAGCCATAAGCCGGATCGTCACGTGGATGAGTGTTTACCCCATAGATATATTTCAGCTTCCGAACTGTACAGTATTCATGCGTATATATGCACTCATATTCAGACCCCAGAATAATTGCGTGCCAGCGTAAAATACGTCCATAAATGCACCATTATCCAATATATTTTGATTTCCGCCGTACAAATACGCTTAAAGATATGTTCCACCCCGCAACGACGGTTATTTACCCAATACCGACTCTTCAGCTTTTGTGTACCCGTATTTCCTTACATTTCACGGAAGGAATGTAACCACCCGTATATATACGACAGGGAACGCTGTGAAGACGCACGGTTGTATGCATCAATATCTTATGGTAGACGCGAATCGGAATACTGAGGTCTGAATAAGGATTTAATAATGATAATAATAGTTCATGTATCATGCCCATTTCTCCATACGCAATGCATGCCCCAAGCGCCCAAACAAACCGAGCTGCCTATTAGGCGCTAGAAGGCTATAGTCATGTGACTTTATCCCACCGGGTACCCATTTTCTGCTGGGTGAACAGAGGCAATTTTAAACAAACTCACTTGCCGAAGGTGAGAGCACATGTATCACACGTGTTTCGTTGTAGGGCAGGACTGAAGTCCTAGAATCTCTCAGGAGTTAAGCTGACAAACACGGTCACCCATCTAAGAACTCTCCACGCCCAACGTTGCTTAACTTCACCTGATTTGTGACCAGGGCCCCGTTTCACAAAGCTATCGTAGCGCTACGAGTGTCGTACATCCTATAACGTAACATAGACTTACGGCAGTCGTAGCGCTACGATAGCTTTGTGAAACGGGACCCCGAGTTCTATGAACAGGACCACACGGCACCATTTAACACAACATTAGC